GTGAGTCAAAATGACTTAGGAATCGCATTTAGATACTTTTCAATAATTACATTCGGAGACCGGCTGAGAGGATTAGTTTATCCGATCTGAAGTTGTTTCAAACCTCTAAATTTAACGCTAAAAAAAAAAACAAAAGAAGGAAAAAATGAAACTGATTGAAACCATTCACCATATCGGACATATTTGGCTGTGATGCATGTGCCTGATATACCCTTATCAGACAGGGACCACGATTCGTATATTAGGCTTGTTATATTTGTACCACAACGGAACAAATTATAGCGTGTTGCTCTCTCACTCATTAATAATAATCATAAGATTTTATATCGTAACAGACAGCAGCCTGTTTGGCGTAAAGCTGACAACTCTACACACTAAAAAAAAATATGTACTACGGGATCCACAGAAGCAGCACTAATGTAAAACTGTGAACGTATAAGCTACATGGAATAAGAAGTACTCGCTTTCTCCCTTATTAAGAAAACGTCATTTAAAATATAATTATTATTTTAACTTCACTTTTAAAGAAAACATACCAATTATATTTGAGAAATAATCTACATCTTAAGTATACATATATACACGTTATTAAAATTAAAATTTAGACATTTTCTTTAAATGTGTATTGTTGATATTTCTCGTACTCATTCAAGATTGGTCTTCATCTACTTCTGTGTGCCGTGTCTCTTTAAGTTCATGGCTCTCCACAATATCCCGTCCGTTGTAGCTCTTAGTAAATTTGTCTTTTTGCTATCTTTTATAAAAACTGTTCTTTCAACCATTTACACAAGCTTGTTAGGTAGGTTATACACTGCTTTCATTTGTCCAGTTTGCCTTCACTCAGTCCTGTGAGTGTCAAATTTTCTAAGTCTTCTTTCCTCATTATGTGTCCTAGAAATTCCGACTGTCTTTTTTTATTCTAAATATAAGCATCTTTATTGTTTCCATTTTCTCTCAAATTTCATCGTTGTTCATATGTTCCTTTGGTATCATCTAATGAGGATACTATGTGATTCTACTCAAGGTTTCTACCTTCTGTAGAACCACATTTCTTTTGCTTCACGTCTATTCTTCATCTGTGATAAGATAGTCCAAAATTCACTGCGACCAATACAAGGACCGACATTCCATAGCAGTTCACTGCTCATTTCTTTGTTTCTAATGATATTTTTCCTGTTTCTTATTACTGTGCTTAGCTTTAGAAGGCACCTTTTGCTATCACAACGCGCCTTCGGATTTCAGTGCCACATTTTCTGTTCTCTTTAGAAACACTTCTTAGATATTTAATTCTTTTCACTTTCAAGATGTTGGTATTTCCAATTTGCAATTCGCAAGTTGGGCTGTCCCTTTTCCTGACAAGCGTGCATTTTAATTCTGTCAGGATTGCTTCACTGTAAAGTTTGCATCAGGCAGGTGAGATGTCATGTCTTCATCATATGCCTTTTTCTATTTTGATGTTGTTGTAGTGAGAGCCAGATGCCCTCCTTACAATCATGAATGAACTGATCAATTCATGATAAGTAGTCTTGGGTAATGGACAGCGGCTCGGATTGCGGAATCGGAGAGCCGAGTTCGAATTCTACTTGAATTCATTACATTCACTTACATGCTAATATCCTTGGGAAAGGTATGGATACTCTTCTTTTCCTCCCAGCTATGGATAAATAGCAGGACAGGCCGGGTTCTATAGCCTTGGATGACAACTGCTTTACCACAGAAAGAAATGGCAACCTACTGCGTGAAAAATCTGCCTTGTCTGTTATGTATCTAATGATACATGATCGTCTAAGCGTGTATCGCGAATGACACCTAACTGATCTGACTGGCTTTCCAGTCGAATCCATTATATTCACTTACGTGCTAATACCCCTGGGAAAGGTATGATTCCTCTTCTTCTCCACCCAGCTATGGATAAATAGCAGGACAGACCGGGTTCTATAGCCTTGGATGGTAACTGGTCTACCGTGTCAGACATGTATCAAAAGATACATGATCGCCTAAGCGTGTATCACGCATGAAACTTAACTGAGTCCTGGGTAATTGTCTAGGAAGATGAAGATAATACGATGGCAGTGACTGGTCTAGCTGAGTATTGAACATTATTATCTCTACTGACTCTGTCGAGTTAAGTGATGTGCCTTACCAGACCTCATATTAAAACAGGTGCATTTACTAAATTGACACAGTGTTATTTGTGCTGTAGATAGGCTTTCTGAAAATGATAAGCGGGTGTTGCACACGTTTCACGTGTCTTCTCTTACCGTCTATACTATTCAGACTATGCTTTTCCCCTTATACTTGCTAATATAGTAATTACTGTCTATAATGATTATTAGGTACATATAACACCAGTTTTAAACAGTAATGCCATTAAAACGACTAGTAGAGCGTCCCTTGGACCTTTTACCATCTCATGTTAGACCTTGCCTTCGTCGCTAATAATTCATGCCACGGCTAACGCTAACATCTTAACAAAAACAACAATAACTACAGCAAAACCAATTACGCCCATTAATACACAGGCTGTATCTACTTTCACTTTCTCTATTCGGGCTGCTATTTTGTGCCATGTTGCATTAGTGGCTGTGTTTCTGACTTGTTGCATGGCTTGGCAACGTCAGTCTCTGACTAATTCTAGCAGAGCTTCCTACTCGGCTCTTTTACTCTTCTTTCTTCGCCATTGCCTCTAAACTCAAGGCCTCTGCTTCATTTCTCCAACTACATCCGCCACCTCCGCTTTCTCTAGCCCAAGTCTACACCTCCGGCAACGTTCTGTCGAATCTATTTTTACACTAGAATGACCGAACGTCCGACTCGCGGTATTCTTCGTTCTTTCCCTTCCTTTACCCCCCGATGTCTACTCTTATTTCTGTTTAGGGGTCTTACGGGGTTCGTTTCGGGTTCGCGTTAGTTGGTGCGTCAGTTCGTGTGGAAGAATTTTCATTTTCCTTCAAACTGTGTTAATATTAGGTAAGGGATGAAAGAAAAAAATGAAAAAAAGAAGAAAGATAAACAAGAATTGTAATAAAAAAAAAAGATTTAACGAGAAAAATCAAATCATTTAAGGCTGAATAATAATGAAATTTGCTGTTTTCGAATTTCCATCTAACTTACAAATTCTGATTATATCTGCATGCATAATGCATTAGCTCTCAGTCTAGCTTTCTTTCTGCTCTGCTTTTTGATTTATCTACGTATCTATGATGATTTTTAACGATCCCAGGACAGAATCTTCACTATTCTTCATATCTATATATTTATATCCACAGACATATAAATAAGCGGTCCTACCTACTAATATATGCGTATAATCTATCTATCTATCTATCTATCTATCTATCTATCTATCTATCTTAGTCTGTTCATATCTATCTATCTAACTATTTATCTATCTATCAGTCTGTCTGTCTGTTCTTGTCTTTCTTCTTTTCTATCTATCCATCTATCTATCTATCTATTTTATATATCAGTATTTTCTTATCTATCTATCTATCTATCTATCTATCTATCTGTTTTTGTCTTTCTTCTTTTCTATCTATCTATCTATCTATTTTATATATCAGTCTTTTCTTATCTATCTATCTGTCTATCTATATATTCTTTTCTTTTTTTCATTCTTTCTTCTTTCCTATCTATCTACCTATCTATCTATAGCTTTCTTTTATTTATCAGTCTGTTCTTATCTATCTATCTATCTATCTATCTATCTATCTATCTATCTATCTATCTTAGTCTGTTCATATCTATCTATCTATCTATCTATCTATCTATCTATCTATCTATCTATCTTTTCTATCTATCTATCTATTTTTATATGTTCTTTTTTTTATCTATCTATCTTTTCTATCTGTCTGTCTGTCTATCTGTCTATTTTGTATTTCTTCTTTTTATCTATCTATCTATCTATCTATCTGTTCTTATCTTTATTATTTTTCTATCTATCTATCTATCTATCTATCTGTCTGTCTGTCTATTTTATATATTCTTTTTTTCTATTTCTATCTATCTATCTATCTATCTATCTATCTATCTGTCTGTCTGTCTGTCTGTCTGTTCTTGTATTTCTTCTTTGTATCTATCTATCTATCTATCTATCTATCTATCTATCTATCTATCTGTTCTTGTCTTTCTTCTTTTCTATCTATCTATCTATCTATCTATCTATCTATCTATACACACACACACACACACACACACACATATATATATATATATATATATATATATATATATATATATATATCAGTCTGTTCTGATCTATCTTAGTAAATATACCTCTATACAGCTCTCAACATAAATGCATATCATGCATAATAGATATAAGGAAGATACATAGAGAGAGGGAGAAAAGTGTGTCTGTATATGAGAGAGATAGACAGAGATAGAGAGAGTCTGTGTGAGTGAGTGTGTGAATGAGTGAGTGAGTGATGGAGATGAAGAAAATGAAGAAAACATCCTTATTGACCATTCGTCTTCTAGGGAAAGTAAATCCGATCCGACCGACCTAGAGCCCTTTCTATTTTGGTGTATTTATCCTATCTTCTATCCGTATGCTTGTCACTTTTCCCCTGTAAATATTCTGTATTATTCTAATATATTTCCGAAATGAAACAAGCTTTCTTAGCAATTTCTAAAATTTACAGATTTACCAATAAGTAACAATTTTTTTTAAAAAAATGCGCTAAAATAATTTTATTGATTCTTGTACTTATCTTAACAATTATGTCACCCTAGGACATAGGTAATCATGGCTCGCCAAATATTTATTTATCAGATTTGTTTATTGAAATGTTTGTCAAAACATCGGCTAATAGCCAAATTATTCCAACTTTATAAACTGGTAAATAATAAGGATTGCCTTATAGGTATTTCTCGTATCTTAATAATTGACTAAATTCTTATAAATTTATAAATAGAAAATAAATAAATATTTCCTAGCATTAAATTTATTGTATTAGTTATTAGTACTTTTTAAAAAAATAGAATTACTTTTGTAAATAAACTTATATTGTTTAATATTTTGATGCGAATTCTCAAGAACAAGGCTTATAAATTCATATTCATCTCATGTATAGATTTTCTGACAATTAAAATCATCACTTTTTGAAATAAATAATCCCTGCTTAGAAGTAAAGCCAGTTAAAATAATAACGTTGTCAATAGAAAAACCGTCTTTTTGATAATTCGTTTTTTTTTTTTTTTTTTTGCGGTCATGAATTTTGCCAATTCTTTTCATTAATACAGCTTTTAAGGAAAATACACCTTTTAAGTTCATTACATGTTATAGATCCTTCTAATTGTGATGTGAGTTTCCTTGCCAAACTTTCGTTTTTTTGTAGTTAAGTCAACAACTTCATTATATCTTTCTTCTAGATTTTTGTTTGCGTCCGCGAAGTTCAATTTTGCCTATTTTCTATTTTCCCTTAAATTATCTTTTTTGTTCAGGTGTGATTTTCCAATAAGTAATTTCTCTTGTGTTTGTAAAAATAAAAAACACGTCATAAAAGCTATGCAAAAATATTTTATTATGTTATGACATTTTTAAATATCTAGTTTCATTCTGTTGTACAAGATTTCCCTATTTTTTTTCTCTTTCCAGTTTTTAATGTATACTCTTTATGTCTAAAATATACTTTAATATTTTTACTTTCTTTTGCAGGTAAGTAATCAATTCCTTCATATTTCTCCACCTGTTCCCGTGAGAAAGGTAAGGTTACGTATTCTCTTTCACAACGTTTCGCTTATCTTTAACCTTGGCTTTGATGCAATGTCATAATGTCTATATTGTTGGGTGAAACTGTGGATTATATATTAATGCATCTGTCGGTTTTATTGTGGATATCTCTTTTGTGACACAAAGAAGTCATGTTAAATAAAAGGAAAGGCAAAGATGGCGTCAGGAAAAAACTAATCGATAAAACAAACCTCATAAAATATAGCCTACCCTGATCAGATAGAAAAATCGATAGGGAACATCTTTCTCGCTTATTGTTGTCTAAAAACAACGAGGGGGTAAAATAAGTGAAATAATCTTGTTTTATTTATTTATTTATTTATTTATTTTTTTAATAAGGCAAGTAAATATTTTTTGGACTTTTTTCGAAACTACTATTATTAATACAAGTCTTTGAGAATATTCCTGAAAACGTTTATGTATAGCTAAAATGAGATTCTCTAAATTATTATCTAAGCTATATAATTCATTTTTTTTTAATATACTTTTATGTCTTGACACATTCAGGAGTTTAAAATAGTTTCAAAGACTTCACAGAATCTTTGGTCTATTATTTTTATAGCAGAGTTTTGTCTGTAACAGTAGAATACGTTTTAAACGTTTCTCTTGGGAGTTTATGCTATATATGTTATACATTTATATCCTTCGCTCGTTTTACAATCTTATACTTCCCGCTCTAAGCTGACATGTTATAAAATCCCGTGAATTGTACAGTAGGGAATGAAATTATTTGATCATTCGTGAGACGTAAAACAAACATAGCTGGTGGCATTGTAAATTTTTAAGATCAAAAGACATTCTAAATCCATTAAATGTATTTAGATATATAATTTAATATCATTGAAAGATAAAGAAATGGTAGTAAAGCCACAACACCCAAATATAGATGGAGAAAAAAAAGACATTTTATTTATTACTTATGTAGTCTAACATATGACATGATATATATATATATATATATATATATATATATATATATATATATATATATATTATTAGTGAACTTTATTTTGTGCTATAGTTTAGATATCAAAAGATATATATGTTGACTGTAGTTTTAAAAAAAATTAGCACTCAGTCAGTTAGGTGCCATTCGCGATACACGCTTAGGCGATCATGTATCTTTCGATACATGACTGACGATGCAGATTTTTCACGCAGTAGCTTGCCATTTCTTTCTGCGGTAAACCAGTTGCCATCCAAGACTATAGAACCCGGTCTGTCCTGCTATTTACCTATAACTGGGTTGGGGGGGAGAAGAAGAGGATTCATATCTTTTCCAAGGGTATTAGCACGTAAGTGAATCTAACGGATTCGACTGGAAAGTCAGTCAGTTAGTTATGTTCCATGCGTGATAGGCCATCATGTACTTTCGATACATGACTGACGAGGTAGCTTTTTCAAGCAGTAGGTTACAATTTGTTTCTGCGGTAGACCATTTGCCATCCAAGGCTATAGAACCCATTCTGTCCTGCTATTTACCCATAGCTAGTGGGAAAATAATAATGTTCATACCTTTCCCAAGGGTATTAGCAAGTAAGTGAATGTAATGGATTCGATTGGAATTCGAACTCTGCTCTCTGATTCCTCAATACGAGCCACTATCCAACACTATTGTACCTATTCTTAGTAATATTATTGCGTATAAATAATAGCATACTAATTTAAAATTGCTTCCATAAATGTAACTTAGCCTGTATATATTGCTACTACTTAAAACGAATGCTTGTCAACAAGAAATTTTAAAAACATAAAGAAATAATTTTTTTTTCTTCTTTTATACACCGTATCTAATGGGTGGGGGTCATGTCTTTCCATAACTTCCTGTATTTTTCGCTTTACTCAACTTTTAAGCCTTCCTCTACTACTAAGTACTGTATTTGTTCAGTACGTTGACGATCATGTCTCTCCACAATTTCCTGTCATTTTTAACTCTTTATGAATATAAGATAAATGCCTAAAGGCCATGTCACGTTGAAACACTGGTTCCGTTACGATCGACGATTTTAAGCAACGTCGAGCCTGGGCAACAGTTTGAGAAAAAAAAACAATAAAAAAAACAGATAATGTAAGCATGGATGTGCAGGTGGTGTAATGGATAATGGCTCACGATTGTTACTCTACGAGCCGCGTACCAATTCTGGTTGGGTTCGGAAAATGTGTCTTTTTGCTGTCTCTCCTAAACCGTTTTCTGGAAACATTTTACAAAATCATGTAAGATATTTTAGGCGCAGTTTTCATCTGGCACGCTTGCAATCAATAGGCCTTGTAAGTGTCAAATTTTCTAATAACTCTTTTCGTATTATGATCCCTGTAAATTTCAACTGTTTCTTTCTGGTTCTAAATATGTGTCATTTTTATTTTCATTTGCTTTCGAATTTTGTCGTTGATGAAATGTTCAGTCCTTGTTATCCTCAGTAACCTTCTGTCACCCCGCATTTCTGTTGCTTCAAGTCTGTTCTTCATCCGTGATACGATTGTCCAGAATTCAATATGTTACGTAGCAGTTCAGTAATCATTTCTTTGTCTCTTCCCTTTAATATTGAATATTGTCTAAACTCTCTTTCCTCATTTTGTACCCTCGAAATTTCAAACTTGTCTTTCTGTTGTTGAGTATAATCGTTCTTTTTCTTTTCATTGTCTCTATCACTTCGTCATCGCTCACTTCTTCAGTCCATTTTATTCTCAGCATCCTTCTGTAGAAACATATTTTCCATTGCTTGAAGTCTATACTTTATCTACGAGATTGTCTAAGATTGATTACTATATAGGAGGACTGACACTACATAACGGTTCAACTATTCTTCCTTTGATATAATGAATTTTTTGGTTCTTCATACTTTGCGAAAGTACATTTCTTTATCTCAATGCCACTTCGGATTTCGTTGCTGCACATTCCGTTCTCGGTGAAAGTGTTTCCCAGATACTTAAATGTTTGTTCTTGCTTGATTTTGATATCTCCAATTTGTAATCTACATGTTGGCCGTTTACTTTTGTTGACAACTATATTTTCTGTCTTCCTAAAATTGATGCTTATTCCTTTCTTCATGCATTCTTTCATTACACTCCTGGGGACTTCCTATAACTTCCTTCCTTTGTTTATTATTAACACTGTGCCGTCTGCATATCTTATGTTGTTAAGATTTTATCCGTCAATAATGAATCCTGGTAGGACTTCTAATTCTCTCAGAATCGTGGCAAAGTATAGATTAAATGAGTCAGGTGAGACATACTTGTGCTAAACCTTCCAAATCTATCATTGTGTGCTGCCATTCATTCAGAAAAACACATTAAATACGCTGCTCATTGGTTTTCTCCTGCTTCAATGCTCTCAATAATTGTGGCGACTTTTAAGTTCTTCCATATATTGTGTCTCGGGAATTCCGTTTGATTGTAAGGCAAAAGTTTGGGGCCACCCGTCATTTCTTAAAAACGAAACACCTCAAAATGAGATATGGTATTTTCTGTATTTTTACAGTAAAATAAAAATGTTTTAATAACCACAATCTATTATTTTTTTTGACAAAAAATAAACACTTAACGATAAAAATTAGCATAAAACAGCATCATATTTTGTTTTCCTCAATAAAAGCACCACCTTCATTAATTACAGCTTTACAAATTTCTAATATTCTTTAAAACAGTTTTTGAAAAAAAATCATAGTTAATACCTTCCCAAGTATTCTTCAAGCAATAAAAAGCTCACGCTTACTTTTTGGGTATTCTTTTCGAATTCTCCTATCCAATTCATATCATAGTAATTAAATGAGAGAGATGTCATGAGAATGATACAAGGTTATAATTTCCAAAATTAATTCTTCTTTTTCTGAGTTCAGTTGAAGTAATTTTGACATGATTTAGAAGAGTGTTGTTGATAGGTGATTTTTTTTTTTGCAATTACGCGTAAATAAGATGGTATAGCATGCCTTTTCAAAATCCAATAATATTTTTATTTTCATGATTCCAGTCATTTTGGTAATCTCAAAACGTCTACTGAAGGATTACTAGTGAAAAAAAAAAAATTTCTCATCCAAAATGTTCATAATTTATCAAAATGTATTGTGGAGAGACATGGCCATATTTGAACAATTTAGTAGTAAAAGGAGCCTGGAGAAAGACTGGAAATAAACTGCAGTTACGGAAATTTTATCTTTTGCTTAAAAATACAAAGGTATCTCATTTTAATTTGTTTTGTTTTTTACCCGAAATGTTTGCTTGCAGTGTAGGTTTCCTTCTTAAAACTCCCTCGATACTCAAAAACCATTCTGATGTTATTCAAATGATTTATCGGTAGAAACACGTGTGTTGTTTTAAGTCTCTTCGAATGTTAAGGGATTTTCTAGCATTTACTATCATATAATAGCTGGGTAATCGTGTATGGTCGTTTGCTAAGGGGGTTAGCAAACGTTTGCTTAGATACATTTGTATTACTTCAGCGTCCAGATCCAACATTCAGTCAACACTGCAATTATTCTGAGCACATCCAAGTTCAATCCCCAAACCGGACAGTGTAACTTTGACTTAATGGGAACGGGTCGAGCAATGACTAATCAATACTAAAATAAGAACTAGACGAGATAGACTTACACATGGGCAGTGGAACGAGAACAATCTACCATGGTAGATTGAATAAAGTGTTCGGTTCGAAAATCCTCGTAGGTTATCCGGATCTCTACACACCTGATGAAGGCACAATGGCTGAAGCGTTGTGATGACAATAACAAAGATGAGGGCAATAGCTCTTATGCGAATAGTTTAAACAATAAATGTCGATGTTAAATGAGGATTGACATTAGCAGTATTTCTTTTGTTTGTTTTCATATTCTCATTATGATAACGTGTTAGAAAGACAGAGCACGTATCCAGTGGGTTTCTTGATGCTTATTTTAACATGATTTCGCTGACTTTGATCTTTATCTATGGACAAAGCGTTGCTTGCTTTCAGCATCGAACTTTAAAGGCTTCAATAAACG